TCTCTGTTGAAGCTTAATGTCACATTACACTCTTTTAATTGGATTTACAACATGGATTAGCTCATCACCTTTTTTTCTCACTTTCTGTTGCTTTATTTCTCAAACTCACAAGCGTATAGGCTTTAGCATGTGTATTCTATTTTCTCATATTGTGCTTGAGGTAGTATTTTCTTAATTCTAATTATTGTGTGTTTTCCCATTTCAAGATTGGACAAGTGGTCTTTAAAGGAATAAAACGATTGAACCGGATCCAGTCAATAGTTTTCGAGACCGCTTATAACACCAATGAAAACATGCTCATTTCTGCACCAACTGGCGCAGGCAAAACAAACATTGCCATGCTAACGGTCTTACATGAAATCCGCCAAAATATTCAACAAGGTGTCATTAAAAAGGATGCATTTAAGGTATTTGCTCATTTTAAAAAGTCTGGCCAGTGTTAGCAATGTATGTGTTATTTATACAAAGCTTTGGAACTATTATACAGAGACCTTTAGTAAATAGCTTATGCTGTTTATTGTAATACACAATGTGTAATATGCAGTCAACACTATCTGTTGGTAAACAGCACACCTACTGTATGAGTTTATTTGGTGGGAATGCCAGGTGCTATGTGGGTGTAGGAAATGTTTCCATTTGTCTGTTGAAGTTTTAGAACCAGACAACTTAAAGCTGAACTCCTTGCATTATCTATTTTTAAACATAAATTGGCCCAACTTGGTTACATTAGAGTAATTAGGCATATGTCACATTCAGAGGGCCTCTGGGGATGCTGGTGCTGCTCGAGCAACTTTCCGTCTGTACACTGAACACAAAAAAGTTGCTCGCTCTCACACTTCCGCCATTTAGCAAACATCTTGCATTTTTTTCAGTGCAAACAAAGTATTCTCTGATTTGATGAGGTTCTGATTGTAACATCATCTGCCCCTCTTTGCTTCGTCCAATCAGAGAATGTCTTGCATTTATTTAAAAAAATACAAGCCATTTTCTGAATGGCAGAGGTACCGGAGAAAGTGACTCCCTGTGTTCAGTGTACAGATGACAAGTCGCTCCAGCAGCACCTAGAAGAGGGCATCACTGACTCTATGTAGCACAGACTAATACAGTGATTTTTTAGTATCCTCAGTGACCCTGCAGATATGACACATGCATAGATACATTTAACCAGTCTGACCCCATGAACGTTTAAACATAGATCAATTCTGGATCTCCATTTTAAAGGACTTGTGCTGCAATTAAAATTACATTTAAAAGATAATTGAAGCATTTTTTTTTAACCTGTGTTTAAACATGGACAGTGAATGTCCTCTCATTGGTAGCATTCTCGTAACTGAAAAGCAGGACAGCCCCACTGCTACACCTTAGGAGGCTTGTTCGCTAATGGACACTCTTGCTAGCAAATTATATGCCTAGATGCTTTTATATGAATATGATGGACAACATGCACTACTGAGTCAAATCATGTGCTCTCTTTGTATGTGGAAAGGGATGCTGAATGATAGTGTTGTTTCAATAATGTTTTTTATTTAAAAAAGAAAACCTTTTTATGGTAATGTTAATTGATAGGAGATTTCCCATGTAATATACATTTTTTTATAAGTAAATATAAAGTTTTTAAGGGTATTAGTTAGTCCTAATCACATAATGCTCCTGGATGCTGCTTGATTTTGCTCATTACTATAATAGCAATCCCTATTTGTGTTCTGAAAATCTTATTACCCAAGTGAAAAAGCTATGAAAATGCATTTAGCTTTGATGCAGAACCAATTTTCAAAGTGATGAGACTATATAAACAAAATCCATTGTCCTCTAAAGAGCTGCACACTTATCCAGCAAAACTAACAACTTATCATATATCACTATTAAGATTTTTCACTGTAAGTGCTTGGAATCATATTTTACAATAAATTGTGATTTGTACTGGTAGCTTTGGGACAAATGAAATTGTGAGTTTTGCTCGTTTATCAACTTGGTGTCCTTTTTTGTACAGATTGTGTATGTAGCACCTATGAAGGCCTTGGCAGCTGAGATGACAAATTACTTCAGCAAGCGTCTAGAGCCATTGGGTATCACAGTGAAAGAGCTGACTGGTGATATGCAGTTGTCAAAAGGTGAAATTTTACGGACTCAGGTAAGTTTAGCTAAGGTGAAATGTATGGCTTTTGCTTTATGCTTTTAATTTTTCACCTTGGCTTTGTGTATATTGCCTATTGAGCCTGTATTACAATTTATGATTAAGATGAGTTATAAGGCTAATACAGCCTAGCTCTTGAGATGAAGTATTCATTAAGCCACTCTCTCATGGCTATACCTTAATTAGGCAATCCCATATTGTATTTGTCTCTAAGATTTGTTAACTTTTTGCAACCTTTGCTACCTTAACTTCGTATGCATAGAATTATTATCCTGTCATCAAGACATATGTAGCTTATATGGCCTTATCCCTGAGCAGTCTTTATTCATGTAGTTTAGAGCAGTCTGCTGTTTTGTCTGCAGTTTTGTTTCTATATCTCTACATTTAATGTTTTATTATTAATTAATGAACCACTACAAAATCACCTTGGAGAATTTGAATAATTGAATTTTGGATCAACCCAGTTCACCGGTTAGCTAAGTCAAAGGAGTCAAGTTCAAGCGAAATTGTTTTCAAACCAAAGCTGCCTGTTTGAAAACTGACTGCAAAGGCAAGTGCAGATTGTTAGTAAACCTTTTAGTTAAAGAAACGTGCAAAAGCAAACCTTGACATATATTCAGAATTCCGTCAAGACTTTTATTAATCGCGTTAGATTTTTGGCAGTGTGGTCTTTGGTGATTTTAAAGTAAACTTGTTTCAGAAGGTAGTACGGTAACGTCCCTTTACATTCCAGTGACTGAACCAAACAATCCTCTGATCCCCACCTATGTGCATCCTGTGAGCCCCTAAAAAACTTAGTATTAAAAAAGAAAAAGGGGTATGCAATCACCCATTTATTCCAGCTTGTAGTGCCCAGTTTGTATATTTTGTGGTAACAAATCCCCGTAAATGAAAAAAAAAAGAAATGTATTATCATTGACATAATTGGAGGATAAATGTGTTCTTGGTTTATTTTGGTTCTATCTTTGTGATCTAAATTCCTCTCACGTTTTGATTATTGTTGTTTTGTCTTGTCCCTTAACTGCATTTTTGTTGCTAACTCCTGTCAGTTTTTTTTCCCCCATCTGTGTCCCATTGTGGATATTTTCCCTCACTTGCTGTCCTATAGCCTCAGCAGTGAGTGAGAAGAAATTCCTTAAAAGTGAGGCGCATCCCTGATAGTCAGTAGGGTCACCAAAACTAGTGCCCCAAGTGGAAGATTCCCCCCTCGATTCCTGTTCTGGTGATAACTCAATTCTTTCATTTTTACTCTCAGTGCTAATGGTTATGTGAATCCCCCTAATGGGAACACATACAGCAATAAAAACAGGTGTTATAATCCCAATCCACTATATCCAAAACTAAAAACAAGGTGTGCCTTTAGTTTTACTTTACCTTGTCAATTTCACACTTTTGTAAACTCACCAATGTATGTATGTGTTCTACCATGGTAGACTTATAACCTCCTATAAGAACTTTATTGCCAATTATTACTTGAGTTGGCTTTAGTTAAAACCTCCTTCAGGTTTTTACCACTTTTGAAAAGGATAAGATTCACTTCCTGTCTAGGACACACTTATCACACTAAACTTAAAACTTCCCTTAACTACACATTATTTTAACATTTGTCTTATACTAGGGATGCAACAATACTTTTCAGATATCCGTGCCAATACTTGGCATTTTCATGAGAACTACCAGGGTTGCAGCGGTTGCAGCTGGGACCCAGCTCTGGCGTTCCACCATTGTCCTGAAATCATTAGTCTGTATTGTTTTAGAAAAACTGTCACATGACAATAAACAAAAATGTATCAGTACTTGCAAAAAATGGTATCGGTGCATCCCTTTATATTTATAAAAACAAAATCATACATTAAAACAGAGATGTATAAATTCCATGAGCTCTGAGTGCTCCTTATAAATGACAGCTACCTCCTAACTTTTGAATTTTTCTCTAGTATAGTCTTGGAGCTCGAAAAGTATCTGTAAAAGTATTTATTTACACTTGTACCGAGTATGGTACTTGGTATAAGTGCATCCCTATCTTATACAAACCAGTTATTTTAATTTTGGATGTTAGCATGATAGATTTGTCACACTTCTAACCTCCTAACATACATGAAAACATCTTCCTAGAGGAAACCCTTATGTTTGTATTTTAAAATTTCTCCCCATATTGAGCTTTTATGGCAGCGCTGACAAATGGGTTAGCTCCTATTTCCCCTAGGTAACAGGAACAAAAAAGGATTAAAACCACCCCCCTTTGCCCTATATAAGCCCCTCCTTAACCTGAGTTCCCTGTCTTTTTTTGTTTCTGTCCCCCCTAGGACAGGTAGTTTAGTTCTTTCTTAGGGAAAGAGGTTTTTTGCATTTGTTTGTTATTTTGTTTTGCACATAAGGTGATTTGCCACGGGGGAGTTCAGCCTCTCTCCCCTGCGAGGCTCTCAAGTCTCGACCCCGGGCTAGGGTGTCCCCTTGAGGAGGTTGAAAGGCGTCCCCGGTACCTGCAAGAGGCCAGCGGTGACCCGAGGGGTAGCGGCCATGGTATGGGAGCCGTGAAACTTCAACGGACAGAGGTAGGCTCTGGTGGCTATGGACGCCTTACCTGTCCCAGCAGCAACTGGATGCTTCCCCTCGCTATTCCTCTCTCTGCCGGTCGGCTCTCTCTCTCGGCTTGTGGACGCCGAACTGAGGGCAATCCTGGAATGGGCGTTTGCGGCTTCGGCGCTCTTTTGAGACATTATGGACAGCGGTTCCTCACCTCGTAGGTCCAGATCTAGAGAGCCTAGCCCGGTGGAGTTACAGTCCTCCGCATCTTCGGGGAAAAAAAAAGGGCAAGTCGGACCGATGCCGCGCTTGCGATGGCAAGGCAATGTCGGGGAAAAGCTCTGCCAGGCTTGTTTTAGCGAAGTCGCAGGTCCCTCCAACGCCTCTATGGGCATTTTGGAACTTATACAGCAGGCTGTGGCTAAAGGGGTGAAGCAGGCCAGTCATTCCCATAAATGGCAGAGAACTGCCAGTTCTCATTATGATTCCTCAGTGGGGACTGAGGAGGATATGTCTCCATCTGATGGCGAATACTTTTCTCCTTCGGATCAGGAGGAATCAACATCCCTTGAACCCAAGATGGTGGATGCACTTATAGCTTCGGTACGCAAAACGCTAAGCATGCAGGAGGAGGGGGAGGTCTTGTCCCCCTCAAGCAAACATTTGGCAAATCTGCGACGTAGCAGGTCATCCTTCCCAGTGAGCAAGATCACTAAGAAGCTTATTAGTGACGAATGGGATAAGTCGGAGAAACGAATGGGGTCTGAGGGCCGATTCTCCCGTCTCTACCCTATCAGGGACACGGACTCTATGGACTCCATGGACTGGAAAATGGAGCATAGCCTAATAAAAACCTACACTGCTTTGGGTATGGGCCTCCACCTGGCGGTGGCCCTGTCTTCTGTATCTCGGGCTTCAAGGCTGTGGCTTGAGGACATAGAGGATGACATTGAGAGAGGCGTGAGCAGACGCAGGCTACTGAGTAAAATACAGGACGCCAAGTTGGCAGCTGACTTTGCCACAGAGGCGTCGGATGATCTTCTTCAGTCATTGGCTAGAGGGATGGTGTCTTCAGTGGTGGCCCGGAGAGCTCTATGGCTGAGATCATGGGGCGCAGATGCTTCCTCTAAGAACAGCCTCTGTTTCCTGGCATTTCAGGGGGATATATTTTTTTGGCGTAGAGTTGGACTCCTACATTAAGAAGCCCATTGAGAGCAGGAAGGCCATGCTTCATCAGGACAGAAGAAGCAGGGGGAGTTACAGGGATCGGAGGCCTCGCCAGCACAATCTTTCCTTTCGGGACTCCAGATCATACAAGCCAGGTAGGGACTCCTCCCGCTCTCGAGCATGGAGGGGAGGTTTCGGCCCTTCCAGAAATGGCAGAGGCAGAAGTGGAGGCACCAGTAAGTCTGAGCATGCATTATGAAGGTTTCGTTCCGGGAGACATAAGGGTAGGAGCAAGGTTGCTTCTATTCTCAAGTCTTTGGGAACTGTACATTCCAGACTCCTGGGTCCGGAAGGTGGTCACCAAGGGTTACTGTTTGGAGTTTCACTCCAGCCCCCCAAGAGGCATTTTTGTCGCAACCGAACTGCTGAGGTGTCAGGTGAAAAGAAAAGTTCTGTGGGATTATATCAGTTCTCTTATCTCCCAAGCTGCCATTGTGGAGGTCCCCAAGGAGCAGCAGTTCCGGGGTTTTTATTCCCGGTTGTTCTTGACCCCCAAATCGAAAGGAGCCCATTGCCCCACATCATCAACAATTCCTACCTTTTTTTGTCAACCACAAACATTTTCAGTTTCGGGCAATGCCCTTCGGTCTAAGCACGGCCCCCAGGACTTTCACGAAAATTCTGGTCACCGTCATTGCGGAGATCCGGAAACAGGGTGTGGGCATATTCCATTACCTGGACGATATCTTGATCCTGGCAGGATCGGAGAGGGAGGCCCTGTGCAGCAGGGAAGTTTCCATCAGCACCCTCACCAGATTCAAATGGCTGTTGAATGTAGGGAAGAGCAACCTAACTCCAAGCAGATAGGGTGATTTTGAGGACAGTACCGGAATTTTTGCCTAAAGTCCATTCCGGTTTTCATGTGAATCAGGATATCGTCTTGCCCGCTCTCCATTCTCATGGGCCAGACGGATTTCTCGATTTAGTCAGATGTTTGCACATTTATGTGGAACGATGCAGTCCCTGGCGGAAATCCAACAGATTATTTATTATCCCAGGGGGGGGCGAAGGAAGGATTCGCTTCAACTAAGGTCACTTTGAGCAGATGGATTGTTTCTACCATCATTAACACCTATGAAGCAGCAGGATTGTCTCCACCAGAGGGCATCAAGGCTCACTCCACTAGGGCTAAGGCCTCTTCATGGGCATCTGCGGCTGGGGTGCCGGCGGACCAGATATGCAGAGCGGCTACATGGGCTTCCAAGTCTACCTTTGTTAAACATTACCGGTTGGACTTCAGAGCT